CCCCCGCAGGCCCACCCACGGCTCTGCACAGCCTCCAGCACATTGTCCTGGCCTGTTCCTCCTCTCCTAGTTCTCTCCAACTTGGATTTCCCCCTAACACTGGCCGAATCACTGGGAATTCGCTAGGCTCTGGCGCTTCCCACAGGCTGCTGAGCTGCCAGAACCACCGACACCCGCTGGGGAGCTACCACTGCTTTGGCCACCTACACATTCAGCCTCCTGCAAGGCAGCCTGGAATGCCTCCTAAGGGCCCTGACTCCATCCAGAGACACTCTGGGACACCTCCGACCACTGCCACCAGCCGGGCCACGCCCCACGCGAATCCAAGCTCCACTCTGTAGGCCCTGGGAAAGAGCAGGTCCCGCCCAGCGCTCAGATGCTGCAGCCCAGCCTTCTCTTGTAGTTGGCACCTGACGCCAGGCCAGAGCCAAAGATCTTGAGGATCCCGGGGGGCGCTGTGGCGCCGGACATCAATGGGGGCTGCCAGTTCTGGCATCTTCTCGCTGACCCATTGCTGCTTGCCCTCCGGAGTCCCTGTCCCAGAGCCCCCGAAGAGCTGGGAGATGCGTTGGGCGCGGCTCCCCGAGGTTCCCCCCACCGCCTTCAGTGGGCCCACTTCCACAATTCCGGGTGGGGGCAGCGGCTCGCTGTTGCAGCTCCCTGTGTCATAAGACAAGTCCTGGGAGCCACCCATGAACAGAGACGCAGGAGAGTCACCCAGAAAGGCAAGCAGACACTGAGATGGGGCCAAGGAGGAGGGAAGCACACAAATACCGGGTCGGGGGCAGTGGGAAGGGAGCAGAGACAGAAAAGATAGACCCAGGGAGGACCCAGATGGGTGTGGATAGAGGTCCAAGAAAGAGTGAGTTCAAATAAATAAAGGCCAGTTCCATGGAAGCCATTTCCAAAAGGTGAGAAGGGAGAGGAGGAAGGAAGGCGGATCAAAGCCTGCTCTGTGTGGCCCATCCCAGTGCCCTGAGCCCACCTCTCCCACCCTGGGCCCAGGTAAGCTTGCCCCAGGCTCCCTTGCCCATTCAGGACTAAAACCAGAGTCAGGTATCTTGAGGTCCCTCACAAGAAGCAATGCATGGGGCTGGGCCCCAAAACAGGAGCAGATGGAAGGCAGGTGGGGCAGGGGCAGGTGGCTATGCACTCGACAGGCAGCTCTGGGCCAGAGCAGACCTCATTGGGCAGCTGCTTCCAGGAAGTGAACTGATCCACAGGCCCGCAGGTAGCAGAGCTTCCCAAAGCAGCATTTCTACTCTCCTCTCTTGTTCACCAGATAGCATGGCCATAGATGGGGAAGGCCAAGTGCCAGCGCTGGGTGGCTGGGGATGGGGAGGAGGTAAATCTGGAGAGAGAGGTAAGCCCTGGATTCACAGGACTTCAAGTACAGATGTCTGCGACCACTCTGCGTCCCTGGCTCTGAACAAGTTGCCTGTCTGGCGGCACCCAGGGAGCCTGGCTCTGGTGGCCTCTCTTAGCTCCTGCTCTTGTAAAGCCTTTGCCTGTATCCCAGCTCCCAGCTCTGGGTTCAGGACAGAAAAAGGTGAGAGGAAACCTGGCAGGAAGAACGGGGAAGAAATGACCTACCACAAGATTAGGCTGGGGGTTGGGGAGGGTCTTGGAAGGGCAGGCCCTGCCCTGTTTCTTGACTGGGGGCTGCCAGTTCTGGCAACTTCTTCTATCACAGTCTGTTGGCCCCTCCAGCGGGACTAAGGGACCCAGGTTCCAGACCCTCCTCCCTGAGGCAAAACCAATTCTCCAGACCTCTCAGGGAACCCAAAGTGTGGATCTGTCCAGAGGAGTGAAACAGATACTTAGATAAGACAAATCTTTATTTCTTCTGCATTTTTGAAGACGCTTTCCTGGATATCCTAGAACTTTTACTATCAATGCTGGCCTGTGAGGACTTTGGTTTGGTTTTCTTCCTTTTCCGAGTGACTAGCCTGATAGAGGGTGGGGATTGCAAATAATGGAGTCTTGTTAGTTAGGTAGTGGTTGAGAGACACCTGCATTAGCGTCCCCCACCAAATCTGACAGTCATCAAAGTCTGGCTCACCTAAGGAAGCCCCACCAAATTGTAATTCCCCCTACCTTCAAGAAGTCACTCAATGGCTCTGCAAGCTGAGTTCGAACAATATGAAGCCTCACCTCTCCCTCTAAGCTCTGCCTTCCTTCCAGGGTGACTCACCAGAAGATAATGGCTGCTATCAGGATTATAAGTAAGCAGATAAGCAGGCCATAGATGCGCCCTTTCAGCATACTCTTAACCTCCTGGTGCTTGACAGTCGTGGTCTCCGGTTCTGGGCTCGGGGTTACGGAAGTAATCTTTCCCCCCTCCGTCTTAGCCGGGGCGAATTCACCCGTTGGCTTCCAGCCCTCCAGGTCACGGGGTAACACTGACAGAAGAGTGGCAATGAGTGAGGGCAGCGAGTGAGGGCAAGCCTGCCCTGGTATCCAGGCCCTCCAGCAGAAACAAAAGCCAAGGGACCCTGTCCCTGCAGCCAGAAGCCACAGCATACCTCCATGGCCTGAGGCACACCCTAACCGAAATGTACACCCCCCATACATGGGACCCAGGGCCAGGAGCTGCACCCCAATACTTACCTGTGACAAGAAAATGAATGATCGTGGAAGGCCTGTTGTAAATAGTGCCCAGCTCACAGCGGTACTTGCCACTATCGTTCACAGACGCGGAGGGCCTATTAAAGACTGGATCCTTCCCGCTGTACAGCACGGTCTCAGAATTGTTCTCCCAAACCTAGACCCAAGCTCAAGAATATCACAGAGGCCTGGGGAATTTAGGGGTTGGGGGACTCAATGCCGGGAGCAGGAATCCAGGGCAGAGAGGAAAAGGGCTTGGGGTGCCAGGGAGTCAGGAGGGACCTCACCTAATAGGCCATGAGGGCTGGGTGCAGGCCAGGGCATCCAGGGACCAGGGGGTCATACCCACCTGAGGGACTTGGGGTTTAAGGGTTACAGGAGTTGGAGGGCCCCACCCTGTAAAAGACGTAGTTCGTGAGGCCAACAGCTTCTTTGTGCCAATCGAGAAAACAGTTCAAGTTTAAAGCTTCGTGTTCATGGATCTCCTCAACACGATCTGAGGACAGGGCATGACTGTGAGATGCTTCCTCTGAGGTCATAACCCTCCCCAAACAGTCTCCACTCTGTTTGGGCCAGGCCCTTCCCTGTCCGCTGTCTGCATTCTGAGCTCTCTGGACTGTCCCTCCTGTGGCCCCACCCCTCTCCCACCAACCCCGCAGCGGGTCCAGCTCTCACCCCCACATTCTTCGGTCTTCTTCTTACAAAGTTGAACCTGCTTACTGCAGTAGTCACACCATATCAAAGACTGAAACATGGCGCCTGGAGGGGCAAGATCAAGGCTGTATTCACCCACTAAGAGGTGGGTCTGAAAGAGAGGGCAAGGCAAAGGGCTGAAGGGCTGGGGCCCTACTGGGCCAGGATCCTGGGAGATCAACCCTCCAAGGTCAGTTAAGAGTCCAAATGGAGTACACCTGCTACCCGCAAAATCCAAGCTGCAGAAAGATGACTGGAAACCAAGGAACCTCTCAGATGTTTCGAATGCGCATCCAAAAAAGGGGAGGGGGGAAGATGGGTATCATGGGCCATGGATGAGGGAAGAAGAATAGCTTCTGCTGTCTGCACTCACCACATTTGTTGGGACAATAATCTGCCTCAGAAGGGAGAAGAAAGAGGAAGGAACAAATCAGACTTTTAAATGGAGGGGAGAGGGAGTTAGGGGACAGCTGAATTGAGGGTTCTTATTTCCCAGAGAAGGACCTGAAAGAAGTCCCCCAGAGGGTTCAGCAGGAGGAGAGGATGGGGAAGAGGGACTGTCGGTTTTGGGAAACGGTGGGGTAGGGAGGCTAGGGTCCAGGAGCCCTGATTTCTCTCACCTTCTTTTTGAAACATAGAAGCCTGGAATGCAAAGTTTATCTTTTCGAGGCGCAACATCTCTTTCAGGTTCTCAACGCTCTGCTTCCCTGTGGGAGAGGCAGGTTTGGGGAGACCAGGCAGTGGGTTTCTGGTCATGGAGCATGGCACTCCCTCCCCTTTTTTATTTTGACAGGGAGTCTCTCTATGTTGCTCAGACTAGTCTGGAACTCCTGGATTCAAATGATCCTCCTACCTTAATCCTCCTGAGCACCAGGGGCTACAGGGAATGTGCCACCTGGAGGGGCATTCCCCTTTTTTACAGAAATCAAGCCCCTCACACAGTGCCAGTCACTGGGCTAAGCGATGCACAGGTATCAACCCACCTAATCCTCCCAGGAGCTGAGGGAGGAGGGCACTGTGATGCTGTCCAGTGTAGAGCTGAGGAAACTGCCCAGTTTCTTGCTCAGGGCCACATGGGTAGGAAGTGGCAGAGCCAGAATTTGAACTAGGCAGTTAGCCCCAGAGCCACGCATCACATCCGCAGGGTAGGTATCACTAGCAATGGCTCTCCTGAGAAATCCAGGACCCCCCCTTCCCAGCCTTTCAGTCATTAACCTTTTGTTTTACTTTCTGTGATGTTTTTCAGATTCTTCAGGAAACTCGTGATCACCATTTCATATCTTTTCTCACCTATGGGTGGATATAAAACCCGATTCCAATTTTACTGTCTCATAGTCTTTGTCTCCTAGTACAAGCTACAGTACCTATGAGGCTACTGGGCAAGAATAGGACTAATTAAAAGACCATGGACACAGTTGCCTTCAGGGAGTTGTGGTTTCTTTACATAAAATTGCTAGAGAAGGGGGAGAGAAACAATATTGGCTAGCTCTGGGAGACCCCTGGAATCTGCATGCAAGCCTTCTGCATTCCTGAACTCAGGATACCCTGACTCAGGCCCTTCACCCCTAGCCCTAGAAATCCTGGACCCAGCCCCTCCTAAGCCAGGGCCCAGGACCCAGGAGTTCAGCTCCACCTTGCCCTCACCAATGGCCCCCATATAGGTTTGCTTAGTATATGGTAGATCCGAGAATCCCTTCACGGTCCGCACTATCATAGCATACGTGCTATTCACTTCAGCAGGACCCATGAGTTTAGGCAGGTAATCCGTCTCCAGGGACTTTAGAGCCGCAAGAATACGATTGTCACACATAACACAGCAGCCAGCCGGAAGCAGGAAGCAGGCCAGTGCAGCCAATGGGAGCGCAAAACAGGGCCCCATTGAAGCCAGAGCACTCAGTAGAGAAAATTCCAGGAGGGTTCTCTGACCCCAAACCAGCAGCTGACGCTAAATGGAGAGAAACCAAAGCCCATCTTAGGGGACCCATTGAACTCCATATGTATAGTCTCCCCAATGGGAAAGGAGAAGCTTCAGGAAATCTCCAGATGAAGTTTTGTATCCTTCATCCAAAGACTTAAGAAGTGTGAAATTTAATCCCAATTCTGAAAAGCACAAATTTAGGGGCTTTGCATCCTGAGAGATCTTTAGATATCCAAACTAGAACACTGGACCCCCAAACCATACAGACTCTCCAAGCTGCCAATTCATGGGATCCACAGCTCTCCCACAATTAATGTGGTCCTGAGCTCCCAACCTCAAGCCAATCAACACTCAGACACACCCAAGCCCCCAAACCCTGTTGCACCTCAAGCTGAAAAGTCCATGTCCAGCTTCAATATATCAGACTCTCCCGCAGGTTCTCAAACCTCCCTCAAGACCAAAGTCCACTCCAGATCCCTTACCCTGGGGATCCCACGAATGTATGCAAGACTCCCAGCCACCCTCCTGTCCCTCCTGTCCACCCTTGCCCAAGGCTACGACCTCTTATTTTCAGGGTGCACCTTCTCAGGAAACGGAGCCCCAAAGCGCCCTAAACGCGAGGCACCCTAACTAACTAGCTCCTCTCCGACCTTGATCCTTGACCTGTGCCCTCAAACCCAGGATTCGCTCAGGATCCCATTCAGACTGTGAGGAACCGGTGCCGCGTCCTTCTGCCTTAATATTTCCCACGACTGTAACTCAGGTTTTGTGAGGGACAGTTTGGCTGCGTGAAGTCGACAGCTTTTCGGAGTTGGTATGTGTCACGGGAGCTCCCGGTTCCACCAGGAACTCCTGTCACGTCCTCTTCCGAGATCCTAATTCCAAAAAATATTTCCTAGGACTTGGGCCTCCGCGGAGAATCTCAACTCTGCTTCTGATTGGGCTGCAACAAAGGGAGACCCGCCTACTTCTCCATGACGTCACAGGGTGCTCGCCTTACGGAGAACTTCATTCCAGCATCCCCGGAAGAAGAGTCCGGGGTCCTCTGGCTTTCAGAGCCCAGGACCAGGCTTCGGGCCCTCAGCGTCCTCCCTTCCTTGACCTTTGGGACCAGGATTCTGGCTTGGTGCCTCTGCCAGCCTTGCAGATGAGTTTCTAGCCTAGGACTACAACTCCCAGAAGGCGCTGGGGTCTTTTTCTCTACTGTGACTGGCGCCCCAAGCTTTATGGGAATTGTAGTTCAATAATGATACTCAGCTCACTGGATTTCCACCTTCTTTCCCCAGGTTATGGGGGATGAACGCCCTAATGGGATGGGAGGATGGAGGATGGGAGTTCTGGGGGCCACTAACGAGGGTGCTAGAGAAAGGTACGGAGCGCTCAGATACTTGGAATCCCGAAAAGCTTACTCTCCTTCATGATGTAGGGCACTAGGAACACTCACACAATTTCAGTAGCAAAGGGCTACTAGATCTGAGAAGGTAGCATAACCTAAAATATAATGAATAGTGACAATCTCTGAGCTTCCACTTTCTCGCCAGTGTTTTACACACACACACACACACACACACACACACACACAGCCACGAAAGATGCAGAGACAAGGGCTACGAATGTGAACTTTTAATTCATACCTCCCACCCTCCTTGTGGCAGCTATGCTGGAAATGGTACCCTGAAGCCCTAAGAAGACCAGAGGCTGGGATTCTTGGAGTGGGATGACAAGATATGGGTGTGTATGAGGAACCATTTTCATCACCCCAAAAGCAGCAAGGGCTCCTGAAACGGGTCAAAAGTCTTATACTCTCTGGCTCTTGCTTGGGTTTGACTTGGGACTGGGGTCTACTTATCTCCAGATCTTTTCATGCTAGACCTACAAAGACAGATTTAGTCAGGCATGGACCCACCTGAGGTTGAGGCAGGAGGATTGCAAGTTCAAAGCAGGCCTCAGTAACTTATTGAGGTCCTAAATAACTCAGTGAGATCCTGTGTCTAAATAAATGTTAAAAAAAAAAAAAAAAAGGCTGAGATATGGCCCTCTGAGTTCAATCCCTGGTATCAAAAACAAAAAAATAATTTAGTGCTTCTGTGATTTCAGGGACAGACAGGGTTAACAAAGAACACAGTATCCCCTGGCTTTCTGCAGACTTGTTGGATTCCAGATATCAAACCCCAGATACTCAGAACCCAGCTAAAGAAGAAGACACTTGCTTAACCTAATCCCAGAGATAATAGATCCAGGTCTTGTGTTTGGAAGTTTTGACCTTCCAAATTAGAAGTCTTCCTGGATTGCTAGAAAGTTCTGCTGCAGAAGTTGCCTTACCTCCCCAATGGCTATTCCTCTCCACTCTCCCATATCTACTCTAAGAAAAAAAAAGGATGAAAAAACTAATCCTTTGAGACTTTCTTCAGGGGCCAATGGTTTGGACAGACTTTGGTCTGGTCACCACTGCCCCAGCATGGGCCACACCTTGGTTCAACTGGGTTCAATCATCAGTACACACACAAAAAAACACTGGCTCACTAGAGGCAATCTCCCAGGTCTTGATCTTTGTGGCAGTGGCAGGGTGTTGAGTTTCTGGTAGTTTCTTCATCATATTCTTTGCCATAATTATGTAGGATTCTGGAACCTGTATCCCAGTCCCCACATTGTTCTTCAAAAGCATTAAACCTGGCCTTCCCTAGGAAAACTCCCTTCTGAATCATTCCAGAAACTCTGAAGGAGAGTTAATGAGGGCTTGCTCTAGATAAACCATGAGTTTGTTCCTTAACACCTCTGCTAGAAAAGACCAGCCGAGTGGACTCTAGAAGG